AAAAAATTTAAATCAGAATAATATTGCTTCTTACCGCAGCTTGCATCCCAGCATGCCTTCTAACTCCAATCGCATCGTACATAACAATCAAACTAAACCCCAAACAAACAGGAAAAAGCGAGTCTGCTATTCCATGACAAATCGCCACTGATGTTGTCAAAGCAGTACACAAAGCCGAGTGCGAAGAAGGCATCCCACCAGAAGCAAACAATATCCTAAAATCCCATTTCCTTTCTATAAAGAAATTCAAAAACACCTTCATCGATTGAGCAACAAACCATGCTAACAAACCGGAAACAAACGTTGGATTCGCCGCCAATGTCGCCACAAATGGACTAATTCGAACCTTAGCACTAGCCGTTACACTTAATAAAGCCACCCCAAAACCTCCGCTTTGCAAGTAATTCCCACTAAATTGGTCTAAAATTCTCTCTGATTCTGCGGTGTAAGCGTGCAAACATGAAGCCCATTTTTGAGTGCGTGAGAAGGCCAAGCCTTTGATGCTTTTTAAGACTGGAACTAAAACCAATAAAGGGTTAACTGAAAAGCTTCGATTTTGAGAGTTAGGAGTTGGGTTTATGGGATTAGGAGGAGTTTTAAAGGCGAAAGAAACTGGAGAAGCTTTAACTTTGATGAATGAGAAGCGAGGAGAATAATTATTAAAAGGTCTGGTCTTGTAGCTTTGGGGATTGAAGCAGAAAGTGTTTAATGTGGGGTTTATTGCGACAGATCCCATGAGAAAAGCCGGTTTTTATTAGCTTGAGTTTTTCGAGTCTGCATTTGACAGTTAATCAGAGAGAGAGAGAAAGCCGAGGAAATAGGAAAGATATGATGAAGGTTTTTGTGGGGCTTGATACAAGGTAGAAGAACGATTTTAAGTGGCTGATGGGAATTTTAATTTATGGAAGATAGGAAGGTGTGGTGGAGAAAGAACCCTTGGCTTTGGTTTTTTTAACGAATATGCCACTGTGGCGCACATTTTTGCAAGGCCGCACACTCAAAGAATATACCAGGAACTACCACGGCAGCAGCCGGATAGACAAGTAGCTTTAGGACATGCTGCTGCAGCTTACGGGGCTCGGATGTTGGAATTAGAACTTGAAAAGCGCGGTAAAATTGGCGATTATGGAAAAATCCCCAAAAAAGTCTAAATTCAGTTTCTTTCTTTCATAGGCTGGATCGATCATATCATTGGCATAATTTCGATTCTAAATTTATCTTTCAAGTAAATTGTAATTTTGCATTTAGTGTTCTAGATGCCTGTAATGCGTATGATACATCAAACTAGTAGCAAAAAAATAGAGAACAAAAACGAGAACTTATAATCGTATCTTTCTACCCTAATTCATATAAATTACATTTTTAAAAAGAAAAGAAAATAATTATTTTATTAAAAATATATATTAACAAGATAAAACAAATTCAATTCAATTATTTTGACACAATATCTTATTCAATTCAATGTTATTTAATCTATCATATTATACTTTTTTTATGTTCATCCAATTAAATTTGAGTTTTTCAAAATATTTAAACTTAATGCTTAATGATATATTGGTTTTACTATTTATAATTGAAAGTAATTTTTTTTATTTTATTTGATTCTAATTTCTAAATCCATCCTCAATAATTTTTGAGCATTAACTTCTAATCAATGAGGAAGAGTTTAGGTTGATTTTGAGTTTCAAACTTATCTTACAAGAGAATCACGTGTGAAAGAAAATAGCCATATGGATTACTGTATGTTTGTACTTTTTCCATTAAATCTCATCTTCTTTTGTTTTTAGAAAAAGACAAATATAAAACAACACCAAGCACTTTATTACCATGTTTCTACATACTACTTGAGTTTGCAAGAGGCTATTCTGAACAATAAGCAAATAAAAACATGGAAAAGATACGTGATGTAGGAGAAATTACGATTAAACCCCTAAGCATTCTTAAAGGTTTACCACTACTTTTTTATGAACTCGTGACCTTCAGTTGAATGCATTTATTTTTCTTTCCGTATGGTAAAAAAACAAAAATAACTTGACTTAAGTGTGAATAATAACCATGTAAAAGTAGGGTTTATATTTGATACATTAGCACTATATGAAATTTATATAACATCGATAAATTAAATATTGTCATCTCATTATATAATAATTTTGAAAATTAAGAATTTTAAAAAATAAATATTTATAATTTTAAAAACATGCATTTTGAAAATTTTTAAAATTTTTCACTTTTTCATTTATGAAATAATATTTTATAATTAAGTAATATTTTTTATGTAATATATATTGATAATGCATCAAATATAAATATGTGAAGTGCATCGTGACAAATTTTAACAGTTTACACTTTTGGATTGATAAAACTCCGATGTAATAAAATAATTTTATATAATTTAGATAATATTATCAATAAATTAAGAAATATGAGTAAATTAAATAAGAAAAGAAATTTCTAGACACTAAGGTGAGTTATTATAGTTACAAAAGAAATTAAAAAAATTACTTATTTGAAAACAAAAGAATTTCTATCAATTTATTCAACTTTCCTCCCTACAAATTAGAATTGCCTTTCAACCGCTGGGCTCGGGCCTTGCCCCGTTGGTGAAATTATAAAAATCCAAAATCCTTGGACAGAATTGGGCTTCCTAGTTATAATCGCAGGCCCAACTAGCCCAAAGAGGAGGACGAGAAGACCGTTATAAAGAATCCACGTCACCATTGTCTTTCTCTCCCTCCAACCGACTCTGTCCGACTTTTTCCCGGTTCCTTCGCCAACCCAAATTTCTGACTTGAAGAAAAACGCACCCTCCCTACCTCTTCTTCTCTCCTCTCAAAATTTTAAATCAAAACAAACTAAGCACATTTGTCTTCCGAAAGCGCTACCTTCCGAGTCGACTCACTCCTCTCGACCTAAACTCGTCCATTTTTGACTCGGTCACCACAGCATGGAGAACCTGATAACATTGGTGAACAAGATACAGAGAGCGTGTACGGCGCTTGGCGACCACGGAGACGAAAGCGCGTTGCCTACCCTTTGGGATTCCTTGCCCTCCATCGCAGTCGTTGGTGGTCAAGTATCATTTCTGTCATTATAACATATTTTTTCGGTTTTCTTGATTTCTGATCATTCTCATTGTTCCTTTCTCGACCTTTTCTTTTTTTTCCTCTTTCTTTGTTTTAAATTATATTCGGATTTTTTTTATGTATATTTTCTTTTTGTTTAACTCTGCGTTGATTCATTTCTTTTACCGTTTGATGCTACGTAATTTTGACTAAAAATTTCTTTCACTCTTCATTTCATGCGACGATCATTTTCTTGGCTGTGTTTTATCCTATTTTGAAGTTAGAAATTTCAATTTATTGAAATTAGGCCCATAAATATGGTTATTAAATCATTCACATCTTTTCTAGCGTAATTTTTTGATTTAATCATTTAGTAATCCAATGGTTGTAGAGTTCTGGAAAGTCATCTGTGCTGGAGAGTATCGTTGGAAAAGACTTTTTACCTCGTGGCGCAGGTAAATTTTTGCTGATAATTTTTCTTGCTATTGCTTCACCACATGTATGTTTGCATATGTCCCTTGATAACTGGATATGTTTGGAAAAACCTTGTTCGCAGGGATTGTTACAAGGCGGCCTCTCGTCTTGCAACTTCATAGGATAGATGAGGGAAAAGAATATGCAGAGTTCATGCACCTTCCTAGAAAGAAATTCACCGATTTTGGTATGCTTGCTGTTAGATTAGAATTTATTGAGCACTAACTTCTTATAGTTTGTTAAGCTAATACTGTTAGGATCAATTCATATTAGTGCTGAATACTTGAGTTAATTTTTGCTAAATTTATTATTAGTTATTTATATCTTTGTTTAATCTTGAATTCTAAGCTTATATACTCTACATTTGTGCAGCTGCGGTCAGGAAGGAGATTTCTGATGAGACAGATCGAGAAACTGGCCGTACCAAACAAATTTCTAGTGTTCCAATCCATCTCAGTATCTTCTCTCCTAATGGTGAGATAAAGTGTCGGTCAAGTTGTTTAATGCTTGTCATGAATAGGTGTTATCTGAAACAAAAAAAGGATTATTTTGTACCAAAAATGAACCTCCCAATTGTTTTGATCTGAGATAAAGAAAATTAGAAGATATGGGATTAGTTAGTGGTGTCAATTCATCTTGCCAACCTTTATGCAATATCAGCATGAGTTGAATTTATTTTTAAGATTAACAAGTATGCCTACTGCCCATCATTCAGCTGTTATTATTAGTTTATTGGTAGGTTGTATCTGTGCTATTTCTTAAATTGGCTTGAATTATTACGGGGGCATCTGAAATTTGTTTCTTTTGTAAAAGCTGCCAGATGTGTTTCTTATTTCTTTTTTTTATTATTTATATTTATTTTGCTTCATTACCTTTGTAGTGGTGAACTTGACATTGGTTGATCTCCCTGGACTTACAAAAGTAGCTGTTGGTGAGTGTCTGCCTTTTGCAAGTTTTTTTCCATTGACATATTCATTTAATGAATTTAATGAATAAGTTGTGATAATTGGCATGTTGTAGAGGGACAACCTGAAAGCATTGTGCAAGACATTGAGAATATGGTTCGGGCATTTATTGAAAAGGTAAATAGAGACAGAACTTGAGAGATTCTTGCTTATTCTAAGTATACTAAACCAAGCATAATGGAAAATGGTGTTAAGTATTGTTCATCTGATTCTTCTGACCAATTTTTGCTCATAAAATATGTAATTATGTAAATAGTTATGAAGTTCATTGAGTTCAGGGCCAGTAAAACCAGATATGTATGGTGGTGTGATGTAATTTCGCAGGGTCCACTTAATGCTTCAAACATTCTTTGTTTCTTATGATGCTTTCATATACAGTAAGATATGCTTTTCAAGTAAAATATTTTATTGTGCTATACTCGCCTCTTATTGCAGCCCAACTGTATCATACTGGCAATTTCTCCTGCCAATCAAGATCTTGCTACTTCTGATGCAATAAAAATTTCACGTGAGGTTGACCCTAAAGGTATAATTTTTGTCAAATTCTTTCATGTATTAGATAATAGACATTATTTTTTTTCTGAAAGTTGATTGAATAGAAAGAGGTGAAAGAAGGGAGTTGAAACAAAGTTAAATAGGTTTAAGTAGTTTGAAAAACTAATATAAGGTTCAATAATGAAGAGTATGGAAAATATATTAGGACATTGTCTTGCTGATGGAGTGCTTTTAAGGGGATGATAAAGTGATATTTCTAAAAGTTACTGTATGTTGACACTAGTTGTTTGTATTTTCTTTCCCTCTGCCAGTATATGGATACTAATGTGACTGGAACTTTCCCTACAACTACAGGATTGTAAGGGTGCACCTTCTTTGTACCAGTTATATTGTCTGTGGCAGTGACAAGCTATTATATGGTGTTAACTCATGCACCCCCTGTAGCACTGATGGGAGCCTCCTGAAAATATCTATGAGTATTGTTATGATCCAATGGTTATGTATGCTCCATAGCTTAAAGTGCAATCAGCATGAGATTTCCCTGTAATTAAGTAAATAACAAGAAAATTCATTCTTAAAGAATCAAGTGCCCTCAAAGACTGCATTACCTCTTTGAATGTGATTAACAGCCACTCTTGAACTGGTAGGCAGAAGTTGTACAAAGTAAAGATGGAATGGAGGATTGGCTGGAAAACAATTCCAGTTAAAGTGAAGAAGTCTATTTCCTTTACTTGATTGACGGTTTTCTTTGCCCTTGACTTGACCTGCTCAACTAAGCCCTCTTAACATTCTTTGTCCTTTGCCCTTCAGTTGCAGTCTCACTTCTTTTTTCAACTACTGTTTTTGTGGTATAAGAAGCATCTGTAGCAGAAATTTGAATTTAGCAGCTATCAACCTGCATAAGACACATCTTGTGTTAAGGATCCTGCTTAGAGACAAGATACAAATGTATATGGAATGGTGGTGTAATTGATTAAAGGGAGAATAGTGATAGTTACAGGAGCGATGTTGGGTTTCATTTTAATGGTCTTGATTCTTTCACTATTATTGGGGGGTCAGTTGCCTTCTGGCAGGAGAAACAGATAGTTCTATTGATTTAAAATGTCCATCTTTGTCAGCATTAAAACTTTTTTTCTTATTTAATCATATGATTATTCCCCTAGTTTTCCATTATAATTGTTTTGAATTTCACTTTGGTTGGTTGTCAAAAATCAGGAGAGAGGACATTTGGAGTTTTAACGAAGATTGATCTGATGGACCAGGGTACCAATGCAGTTGATGTAAGTTTTTTTCTTCAAATTATTGATATAACTGACATTTATAATAAAATAATTAGGAGTAGCTATAGGATGTATATTATCTTTTATACTATACAAATCAAGTTAAAATGTTTTGTTTTTGGAGCCTTTCCATTTCCATACAAAAATATTTTTACAAAGGTGTATTTAAACATGTTATTTGTTTCAGTGTCTTTGTGGGATTTTGTTACCAATAATCACTTGTTTAGTTCACTTTAATGACTTTCTTTTTTTCTTTTAATGTTTTTGGATTTTAGATTCTGGAAGGAAAATCATATAAGCTACAGTTTCCATGGATTGGTGTTGTTAACCGCTCTCAAGCTGACATTAACAAGAGTGTTGATATGATTGCTGCTCGTCGTAGAGAGAGAGAATATTTTCAAAATAGCCCGGAGTATAGTCACCTTGCTAACAGGATGGGTTCTGAGCACTTAGGAAAGATGCTTTCTAAGGTATACAAATATTAGTTTGTAAATAAATTTACATTTATATGTTTTGATCCATTTTGAGGCATATAGAAATTTTTATGCAGATACTCATATTTTCTTAATAAATTTTAATTGTATGGTAGTTTCCTGCATACATATATATCCTTTGACAATAACTTTAATTTGCTAACTGATAATTTGGTATTTTTCCTTTTAGGTATTTCAAGTTATTAATGTAATTCTTACTACTGAAATTGGTTGAATTTTCAGCACTTGGAAATGGTGATAAAGTCTCGACTTCCTGGTCTTCAGTCTCTTATTAGCAAGACTATAATTGATCTGGAGGCAGAACTGAGCCGTCTTGGGAAGCCTATTGCTGCTGATGCTGGAGTAAGCATTAAACCTATTCTATTGCTTTCAAGTTTTGCCTTTTGTCAATTTTTCTCAGCTTAATTCATACAGGATGACCTTTTTATGGAATTTGTATTACTATTATCTACATAGCAGTCTTTGATAGTTAGGGTGAACGTCTTTTCTCACCCTCTCTGTCTTTCAATAGTTATAGAATGCATGATGCTCCCAGGTTTAGCCACTGACTATTTTCTTTATGTATGCAGGGGAAGTTATATATGATAATGGAAATCTGTCGAGCTTTTGACCAAAACTTTAAAGAACATCTTGATGGCGTGTATGTTTTTATGTAGTACCGTGTTGTATCAATTTGCTTTATATCTTGCCAATTTCCTATTTAATGTGCTTTTGGTTTTATCAATGTTCACAGACGCCCTGGAGGTGATAAAGTATATGGTGTATTTGATAACCAACTTCCTGCTGCTTTGAAGAGGTTACAATTTGATAAACATCTTTCAATGGATAATGTGCGCAAGTTAATTACTGAAGCTGATGGATACCAACCACATCTGATAGCTCCTGAGCAAGGATATCGCCGTCTTATCGAATCTTGTTTAGTATCTATCAGAGGTCCTGCTGAAGCAGCTGTTGATGCGGTACTAATTTCATTTCTTTGGCAATCATCTTTCTCGACTTTTTGTGGCATGTGGTTTGATGGATACCTTTCATGATCCATTTTCAGGTTCATTCTATACTGAAGGATCTTGTTAACAAGGCTATGGCCGAGACAATGGCAAGTCCCTGGCCGTGCTAACTTTATGATTTTATCATACTTCTTGAATTTAATTACATCAGAAAACATGTTCACGTCCTATTTGGAGTCAAGCATCTCTTTGCTGCTTTTTTTTTTTTTTTGAGACCTCATATATGTATTGCTCACCATCTTTGCTCCGTTTAGATGATTACTTGTTCAATGCTATAAACCCCACTTCCCATTTTCCATCTTAATTTCTTTTTATTGCATACAGGAACTAAAGCAGTATCCCACTTTGAGAGTGGAAGTAAGGAATGCTGCTATTGAATCATTGGAAAGACTGAGGGAAGAAAGCAAGAGAGCAACTCTACAGCTAGTTGATATGGAATGTGGTTACCTGACTGTTGAATTTTTCCGGAAACTTCCTCAAGATATTGAGAAGGGTGGAAATCCTACACATTCAGTTTTTGATAGATATAATGATTCCTATCTTCGACGAGTTGGTAAGTACTAGAAGACGCAGACAGTTTTACTATTAGACAAGAATCTGTAGCTCTGTTGGTTTATGTAATGTTTTGGAGTTCTAAATTTTTTAAGTTTGTATTCCACAGTTTTGTCATCAGTTGTTTGCTTAGAGAAGACTCTCCCCTTTTTTCCCCTTCCTCATAAAAGTTTCTAAAAACAGTATAGTAGGAGAGATGTTAGTTCATCATGTTAATTTATGATATTTCCTGCACATAAATAGATTGGTAAAAGACCGGCTATGAATACATTTCATCTCTGTCTCATTTTAACTATGATCCTCTGCTGTTTCTTACTGTTTCCGATGGGAAAAAACAGGTAGCACTGTCCTGTCATATGTCAATATGACTTGTGCAAGTTTGAGAAACTCTATTCCAAAGTCAGTTGTCTATTGTCAAGTCCGCGAGGCCAAACGCAGCTTGCTTGACTTCTTCTTCACTGAACTGGGTAAGAAAGAGGTAAGCAATTTCTTCTCAAATTCTCCCCTGCCCTGTTGCAACTAAAAATGCGAAAAAGGAAAAGAAGACAGAGGATGAACTCTGGTAATCACCTGTCCATTTGCTATATTTGCAGACAAAGCAGTTGGCCAAGTTGTTGGATGAGGATCCAGCAGTTATGCAGCGTCGTACCAACCTTGCAAAGAGACTGGAGTTGTACAGGAGCGCCCAAGCAGAGATCGATGCAGTTGCCTGGTCGAAGTAGTGGAGAATGGACTATTTTCAAAACCTTGCTCTATTTATCGGAAGTTGAATTGAGATTTATCTGCAGGATGATTCTTTTATTCATTGGAAGAGGAGGGTGAACTGCAGAGTTTATTTGCCACTGCTTTTTAGTTAGGACATTTAAACCAACACAAAGGATTCAGTCAGCCGTTATTGACGTAGTCCCTTTAACATTTTATTTGATATCAATTCTCACATATTCTGTTTGTAAGTAGCATTAATTTGAATTGAGAGTTCCTATTAGTAAACGTATATTTGCGTTAACACAAATTTTCTGGCATAATATGACGCAACTCAACTTCAAAGTGTGTTGAAACCGGCAGACATTGTGATCTACGACGGTTCCTAGCCTTGAATTGTTCCAGGTTTTCAGGAGAAAAGAGATCCATGGAGGTGCGGGGAATCGAACCCCGTGCCTCTCGCATGCGAAGCGAGCGCTCTACCATATGAGCTACACCCCCTTGGATGCTGCCAGGCCACCAAGGTTAAAGCAGGTGATGACTGGGATCTCTCACACGACAACGTAAGACATAAAGAATTCATCCAGATTCCAGACCCATTAAGAAATCTTTCTTCTTATGGACATGCATTGCATTCGTTGGCTTACCTCAGTCTGATCTGCCTGTCAATTGTTAATGGATGCCACGAGCAAATATAGTTGTTCTGTGTCAATCACGACTGCTTTAACTTAGCATTGACTTGTTATAGCGAAAACAAAAAAAAAAATTTCCTTGGATGTTGAATTAATACTATGGTTGAATTTGGGTGATGCTGATGGCAATAAGGTAATGGCATCTTTTGCAGTGGCATGTATTAAAGATTAACATCCAGAAATTGCTACAACAAGAAGGAGCCACCTGGTTGTTTTCACCGCCATACTCCTCCATGTGTCCAACTCCATGGGTAGAGAATCAAGGTCAAACCCTCTTTGATGCAGCCAAGACAGGCTTATATTAATGGCAGTTGACATCACAGAAAAATTCAGATTGCACCGTTGTACTGCTCTACTGTAGGATTAATTGCTGCTATGATATACTCTGTCCCTCCACAGGGACAGACAAACCTGAACACCTCCCGACACCTCAAGATTTATTACTTCAAATCTAATAAATTTTTCTGATAAAGTGTTCTGTCTGATAATGATTTTAGGTGCAACTTTGTGCAGTATAAAGTATTAATTAGCTGGCAGTATTAGTTTCTCCAGATCGCAGGGGCAGTTTAATGTTAAGGTTGCAGGGATTCTACGTTTGAGGATATACTAATAAAAAATTACGTATATATGCGACTCTCAGGTTACTGAAGGCAAAAGAGATTTCCATTTCAGTGGCGTATTTTAAGCTAATAGTTGTCATAGTCAAAACTCCAAAGAGATTTGCTGCAAAGTTCAAGAACAGGGCAGCTCTAGAACACAGCAAAATCACCTGAAACCTTACTGTCAGTCATACTGAAGGTTTACAAAAGTTTTTCTGTAAGCTGTTTAGTTTCCTGTGAGAGCAAAACTGTGGATTTTAATGTCCAAAGGTTAAGAAAAAAAGCATAAAAATTATTAGAAGGTGGCACCATCCGATGATTTGATATTGTACATTATATATATATATATATATTGTTAGGGTATCAGATATAAATTTTATTTATAAAATATCAAAAATTAAAAAGTTTAGATGTTTTTGAAAGATTATATAATTGTAAGAATCGGCAAGCAGTCTAGCATCAAACTTTAATGCATGATGCATCCCCTCTATAAATAAGACACTCTCTAGGTAGTCACTTGCTATTAGATAACCTCGAGAGCTCTTTCCATTTCCTTACCAAGCCAATAGAATTTCGTGGAAAAGGCTTTGAGAGGTATAATGGAATCTAGGAACGGTTTCAGATGGAGAAAGCAAGGTCTCAAACCGATCGAAACGAAAAGAGGAAGCAAAAGAGAAGAAGAGAATAAGAGTAGTGGCAGCCAAAGAACAGCAGAAGAAGAGCCATTAAGCCCGTCAGCTCGTCTGTTTCACGAACCAAACTTCAACGTGTATATTATAGCCATCTTGGGGTGCAAGACTAGAATTTACCCGGATGTTGTCAAAGCCAACTTGGGCCATACTTTGCTTAAACACCCTCGTTTCTCTAGTTTGCAGGTAGAACAAAACATTCTCAACGTTTATACTTTAAACTTTATTTTCTTTTGGGTACTTAAAAGGAGCTCCTACTTGAGGTATAATTTAATTATTTCCCCTTCATCTCATGATTGAAAATCCTAATTTTCTTTCAATCTCTTTACTTACTAATAAATAGATACATGTTTATTTAACCAAGGAAAAATCTGTTACAATAACTAGCAAAGAGCGATCGCCGGTGCTCTTCTCTCTCTTGCTAGCAATAGAAGCTTTTCTGGAAAGAGAGAAATTAATGGACATGGATCAAAGCTTGCATGTTTGCAACGTGTGCAATTTAAGCGGCAACGAAATACCAACTTAAAGTCTTAAACCCCACTACCCTAATACAAAAATTCTGTTGCTTTCATTTGGAGATCATAAGTAAGAGTTTTTAAAGATAAATATTTATTGTTGTTTTCTGATGTTTTCGTTGCTATTTAGTTGGATTAAGTTATTTAAATGTTTACGTGATTTGGGAATGGTTGGAATAATTACCACTGAGACATGTATCTCAATGGCAAAGATATGGGAGTAGTTCTTAGCTTGAAGAGAAACTTTTGCCTATATATATATATATAT